ATCATGGGTTTAGTGATGGAATGTAAACAAGTTGTTTGATTGAGAGCAAACCAGAGAGCTAATCTCTTACCACAGTCTTTTAAAGCTAATCTCTCACCACTTCTGGGAGTATGACATACAGTATCATATGTATGAACTTCGAAAGGGTGTGAACCTAAACTGGTCTCACGGTTCGGTTACGATTATTATGCCATTGATTCAGTTGAATTAGATTTCTCGGTGCATTGATGATGCTTTCCATGAAAAAATTTGATATTTTACTTTGCAACACAATAAAACATTTGCTTTCTGTACGCTGCGGTCCTGTGGCCAGTGTTGTGTATGACGTATATATGGCAAACCACTTTACTCATCACCTGTAGTTTGTATAGTGCTGGTATAGTGTAGACCAGGGGTGGGCAAACTCAGTCCTGGAGGGCCGGTGTCCTGCATAGTTTAGCTCCAACTCTAATCAAAAACACCTGAACATGCCAATCAGTGTCTTCAAGATCGCTAGAAATCTATAAGCAGGTGTGTTTGATTAGAGTTGGAGTTAAACTGTGCAGGACACCGGCCCTCCAGGACCGAGTTTGCCCACCCCTGGTGTAGACCCTACGCTAAAGAACTAAAATATTTCCCAGTTCCAGCAAAATATGCCAGAAAGTTGGTATTTAAACCAATAGTTATAGGAATTATATAAATATTCCTCCAACACCAAAGCCCCTTTAAATTCTGCAAGGTGCTGGAAACATTTATATGAGATTTTGGTACAGACTAGATCGCATGCAGTTCCAGGTGATTTAACAGCTGCACAAATATAATGCCCAATATAAATCTCCGGTGGTGCCCATTTGAATATAATGAACACATTGACATGTTTAAGAAATCAGTTTGAGATTTAAGCTTGATTTTTGGCTGAAGTAGCCATAGCATGATGGGTTTGCTCACTGTGGGCATAAAGGGATGGCCATAGTCGACTGAACAAATGCTGCATCCATTATGAGTTGACAAGTCGTAATTTTGACAGGTGAGTTCAAGTCACTTTTGCAGGCACAAGATGGTATTGTACCTTCTTCTGTTAAATTTCAAGAAAATACAAAAGGGTTTGTTCACCCCCTCCCAAAAACCCCTCTATTTTCATTTACTTATCTTGCTTGACTTTCTTCTGCTGAACACAAAATACAGAAGAAAGTTGGAAACTAGTAAACAATGACTTCCATAAAATTAGTTTTCCTACTATGGAACTCAATAGTAGGTTTTCAACTTTCTTTCTTCTTTAGTGTTCAACAAAAGAAAGAAATTCATAAAAGGTTTGGAACAACTTTAGGATGAGAAAATTTATGAAGCCACCTCAATCTGTATTATCTAAAAACATACTGATTGCAATCTTGTCACATTCCTAAAGTACTTGTTGTAATATATATATATGTATATATATTGTTGTGTAATTAAGCCTGACAATGTAAGATTTATGTTTTACGTTTGCAATTTCTGTCTATCATCTCTTTTAGTCAGACATGCAGCGTTTACATGCATCCATCAATTCTGCCGTATGTGTCATCGACATGCTCCCAACACGAAAACGAAAATGTAAACTCCCACTGATAAAAACCAACAACTTTGTGTGGAATTCATGTGCCTTCAACTCATTATTCAACATGACTTAAATGCACCAAAAGTGTCTCAAGAATTACCTCTTCATACCCTTACCTCATCAGCAGCAGCCTGAATTACTGAAATAATGAGATAAGGAGGATTGTGCCTGCTTGATTTAAGATACAAACCACATTTCTTCCCCATTGCAAAACGCACTGATGCCATGTGACTGGCTGATTTAATATTAATCTAAACTAACATTTTGAAAATAGAGTAATTTGTTCAACTCTCATTGGTGGAACTGCTGTACAACAGGGCTGTACAATATATCAATTCAGCATCAGTACTGCAATGTGTGAATCTGCAGTAGCAACATCACAGGGTCTGCAATGTTAAGATACAGTGTTATTATTTTATTTTATTATTTTAAAATCAAGTAATGCACTCTTATGGCGAGGCAGTGGCGCAGTAGGTAGTGCTGTCGCCTCACAGCAAGAAGGTCGCTGGTTCGAACCTCGGCTCAGTTGGCGTTTCTGTGTGGAGTTTGCATGTTCTCCCTGCCTTCGCATGGGTTTCCTCCGGGTGCTCTGGTTTCCCCAACAGTCCAAAGACATGCGGTACAGGTAAATTGGGTAGACTAAATTGTCCGTGTGTGTGTGTGTGTGTGTGTGAATGTGTGTGTCTCTGTTTCCCAGAGATGGGTTGCGGCTGGAAGAGCATCCGCTGCGTAAAAACTTGCTGGATAAGTTGGCGGTTCATTCCGCTGTGGTGACCCCGGATTAATAAAGGGACTAAGCCGACAAGAAAATGAATGAATGAATAATGCACTCTTCATTCACAAATCTCTGACTCTGACCTGTTATATGTGAGCTTAGTTACTGTACAAAACCTGTCAGTGAACTATGAACAAAAATAAAACAAATAAACAAAAAAATTGTTCATTAGTCATAATCGAGTTAAAATGTTCAATAAATCGAGATTTTGATTTTAGGCCAAATCTCCCAGCCCTAAAACAAAGGGAACTTTACTTGGAAAAACCAACTGTTGCAATCTACTATGAAAGAAGAGGTTTCACAGCCTGAAGTATAGTGATATGCTTAATTAAGCAACAATTATGCTGTCCTAAATGAAGACGTCGCACAATACTGCACGCACCCTGACCTCTTCATACAGCTGTTATGAATACAGCACTAGGAATGCTCAAAATCACTGAAGGACCAGTAAGGATTAAGCAGCAGGATAAGGACAATATCTTCTTTCACGAACACCCACAAGGCATGTGGTCCGCGCGCTTGCTTTTGCAAAATTCAATATAATTCGATAGGGTTCAATAGAGCGTGCAACAAACAGATTCGGTGATCAGAACAATGGCAGCGAGCTTTAAAAATGAAATCCTACTCTGCTTACCGCAAGTGATCTGATTACTTTCTGGCCGAGGGCAGCAATAACAGACGTCTACTGAACTGAAAACATTAACTAACTGAATCAAGAGGCTTCGGGGGCTACGGTGTTGAAAAGAGACCAGAAAAAAATGCATGGTTTTAATAGCAAACAGGCATGAAGAAATGGCCACAGTCTTGGTTCAGCTGACCTTTACAAATGCAACAACAAACACATTCCATTACTTTGTCAAATGTGTGCACACCTGTTCAGTGTCAGTTGGCTCACGGTGACCCTGTATGGAAAGTCATACATCACATTTTTCCAAAATCAGCAGCATGTGTGTGTGTAAAGAAACTCTCAGGCTTCAAGTTGTGGATTTAAAGATCCATATATTAAGGAAAATTTGGTTTTATATTCTCATATTTGGACTTTCTCTTTAAAAATATAACAAAGAAAAGTATTATTCGCAAATTCTAAATAGTGAAATCATATTAGCAGTCATCGACTATCAAAGTACAACATTGATCACAGTCAATTAAATAGTGCAAATTTTGTTTTAAAGTCATATTTATATGTGATTTCAGTCCGAATATTTAAAGTACCATAGTAAATGTCTATGGAGTTAGATTTGTTTCTTTATTATTCAATCAAAATTATTTAGTTTTAGGGGAAAATTAAGTACATTCATTCATTTTCTTTTCGGCTTAGTCCCTTTATTAATCCGGGGTCGCCACAGCGGAATGAACCGCCAACTTATCCAGCACATGTTTTACGCAGCGGATGCCCTTTCAGCCGCAACTCATCACTGGGAAAAAATTAAGTACACAGCAATTAAAAAATAAAAGATTGCAAATAAAAAAACAACCATATAATTAAATAACGTGTGGGGCTTAAAATGTCAATGTCAATGATATTAAAATAATTTGGAATGCAAAAAAATAAACTATTGCCCTATAATGCAGTTACCACAATTTTCATTGCACACTCTCTTCTGCTGTCATTTATTGCACATCTAGAATCTTCTTTGCTTGCGGGTTAAAAGGTTTTTAACCAATGTATGCCAGGGTATGCCTTTATTTTTCAATGTATGCCTTTATTATTTAAACAAACTTATGAAGTTTTTGACCAAAATAAGGCACATTGCATTTAGAAAAACAAAATATTTAGAGATGGGCCGGTATAAGATTCTGACGCTATGATAAGCTTGGATAATACCACAGATTCATAGTATTGTGATTACTGCTTTTTTTTTAAGGTCTTGGTAAAAAACTAAATCTAACTCCATACGTGTCACAAGTTGTGACTGAAAAAATGTGCAAATATAGACCAATTTGAGGGATGTAATCAAAAACAATGGTGCAAACTTATTTCATGCTATACATTTTTAATTTCTATAGCTTTTGAGAATTTAAAAAGAGCCACATATTGATAAATAATGCCACAATAGCTGTTTTAATATTAAGTTTTGATTGAACTGCCTCTTGTTTACTGCTATGAAATAGTTTGATAACTAGCAGGAATTGTTCATGGGCCAATGACATGACCACATTGAAATGGTTAATAAAGCAATTTTATCCAAAACATCCAAATGAGATGTCCACCTCCTTTCCATTTAGCCTTACAGTATTGTGGTCAATTTACAATTTTGAGTGGTCAAAAACCACATTCTTAATGGAAAAAAAGTAGTCAATGGCTTAATATGATATCACAGCATTGCAAAACATTCAACTGTTTGTGTACATATTATGATCAACACTGCTTCAACAACAGACATGAGAATGACAGACCACACAAACAAGGTTGAAGTCTAATTTGAAACGGTAAACTTCATGTATTAAACTAAACTGAGTTTAGAAAAACAACAACTGTAAAATCAATAAAGAAATCTTGCATGTTTGATACAGTAACGTTACGTTATTTAGGTGTTTGTCGGACGCCGCTTTATAGTAACCTAACAAGAGCAGAACCGAACAAGTTTGTCAGTTATTAATTGTTTATAGTACAAAGATAAATTCAGAATTAAAAAATTGGCGAAAACTTACCTGTTTTGACTGAGATACCGCTAAATGTCGTCCTTACACACGCGTTTCTTAGCCAGTACAACTTTCCAACTGGAGTGAAGGCGTGAGTGAAGGAACCCGCTCCTTCAACTCCTCCCTCTGACGAGTCAGCCAATCAGAGCAGGCAGCGCAGTATAAACACGCCTCCCACCTCTGACTGAAACATGTCATACTTACACAAGTTTTTAAAATAAATATAAACTTTACCCATGTAGTGCACATCCAAATATTGTGATGTTACTGATATTTGAACCTTTTGTATGAATGAGTGTGAAGACATTTGTCACTTGTTTTTTATGCAGTATATAATCATTGTTTTAGAATGATTTAAGTTCATATTGCTTGTTATTTGTTATTTTGAAAACCAAAACAAGTTGTTAGAAGCCACTGTGAATATGCTTATACTTGCTGGGAAATTTGACTTTCACAAACAAAGGTTCCTAAAAAAAATATTTTATAGACTTCCTATGTGAAATAGAAAAATTAATCAAATCACTTAGATTAATTGATAATAAGAAATGTGCTTCTTTCTTGAGTAAATATAATGAGATCCTTCATGCTAATTGTTTTTTTTTTTTGCATTATCATTTCCTTTAATTATTTTTAATGTACTTTTTTGGTTTTGCTTAGACCCTGTGTATCTAATATGAATATTGTGTAAAAGAACTGTTTTCTTTTACTGTATTTTAAGTTGTATTATACAGTTTCCTGATAAATAAATATAAGCCCATAATTAAGAAATGAATCATGCACCATCAAACATCTCAAACCCATAAGTTTAAACAACAAAAACCATTGTCTTTATTACTAGTTTTATTTGGTTTTAATTTAAGAATTTGATAACACCTTTGTTACTGTATATAACACCTTTGAGATGCATCATACTGTACATAAGAACCAACAATGAAATATCAACCAAAAAATCTAATGACACCTAACTCTAAAGAGTTATTCATTTTACTAATATATTTACTATATTTGTCCTGATAATTTCTAGAACACGAAAAACTCAATTTATTAACAAATATTATAGAATATTCTCTTTATCTAATCAAAATTTTTAAAACTAAAAGTTTTCATAAAGATCTTACAAAAATATATCCATTTTATATCCATATCCTTTTAATTAATATAGCTAAATGTAGAACTAATAAATCCAAAGTAAACAAAAATAATTATACATTTATTTATCTATATGTCTGTCTATTTATGTTCTCACTTTTTTATCCTAATATATATATATATATATATATATATATTTTTTTTTTTTTTTTACAGTATATGCAGCGCCCGAAAATCGGCTAAGTGTAACCAATGTGCTTTCACAGGCGTAATATCATTGTGCCTGCTGCAGCCATAGGACAGCAGCCAGATTCCTTGATTATTAAGCTGGAATGAACGAATATATGGCTAGGCCATATTAGCTTAGAAAACAGCAATTTTTCATTCTCAGTCAGTCTTAGTAATGTACCTACTGAAGAGTCAAGCTTTAAATATCAGCTTCAATGATCTATGCTAAGCTAAGCTAAAAGTGCTCCAGCAAGACCCAGGGTAAATGCATTTTTTAAAAAAAGATCAAATTATTTCTAACTTTTTAACTCTAGGTGACTTGGAAAATGACCCTATTTTCAAAAAAAGATTGCTCATTTATCTTTATGTATTTCAGGGTTCATACACACTTTTACTACCACAATACCATGACTTTTCCATGATTTTTCCAGGACTTTCAGGTAAATTTTCATGACCTAATGTTTCATGCAATATCTACATATGCGTGGTAAAAGAAAAACAATGCATGTTCAAATTTATTACATATCATAAAACACGCAACAATCTATTTAGTTTTAATTTATATGTAAAATTGATTTAGATAATGCTCACAACGCACTAATAATGTGAGAGTATTTGATTGGCCAAGGACAGAAAATAAGTAAATAACCTATATTTATGTATACAGATATTTATTTTCCATGACTTTTCCAAAACTTGAAAATACCATTGTCACAGTGTAACCGGTCAATCATAACAACCATGTAAAAACTCCATGACTTTTCCAGGTTTTCCATGACCGAATGAACCCTAGTATTTCCATCCTGTTATGTTCCATCTTATTAAATAAGTTTTGTTTATTATTGTAATGTATGCCTGGCAGCATTTAGAAACGTATATCATACAGCTAACTTATTAACTGTACTATTAATACGTTTGTTGTTGATTTCTCAGTTTAAAACATTTCATCCTGACCATAAAAACTTTCATCCAAAAATAAAATTATTCACCATTACTCACATTTGACTTGCCTTTATGTACAATTCCAGTCCTTTATTTAACATTTCTTTAATAAGATATTGCGGAGAATGTTGGCAACTAGTAGACATCCACAGTAGAAAAAAACACCAACTTGGGAGTCTTCAGAATATCTTGAACTATCCCCTTAATGTTTTATTTGCATCCTTTTACTTTCCATCCTGTTAATTGACTAGCCAATTTGTAAATAATAAAGTTTGAATAAGAATAAGAGCTCGACCAGGGCATATTTCTAATTTATAATACTATAGTATAACTGTATATTACATGACAAAAATTTTATAGTCACCAAAAAAAAAAACAACAACCACCCTTTTTGGATTGAGAGCGTATAAATCTGTGCTGTTAGATGTTCATAGTAGCAGTAATAACTCAGCAGAAGCAAATAAAACCATAAATATCAAAAGTATCAAGGGGTTCTTACTCCCTCAGACCTCTAGTCCATAATATATATCCATAATATTTATGAAGTGAAATATTATTGTGCTCTATTCATGAGGAAATCAACTCTTCAGTGTCCCCGTGTGGCTAACAATGGAACATCTTTCCCATTAATCTGTGAGGAGCTCAAGGCCACTGTTTATTAATACGCTAAAGAAGATAGATAAATAAATAAATAACCGTGTGTCATTTCTGATTCGGCATTGAAATACGATAAGCTGATTAACACCACCGAGATAAATTGCTTCTTTCAAAGAGAGCTACTGCAAAGCTGAAATCCGTCCTCAGGGTGTTTGGATTCCCTGCTAAAACACAATTTGTTGCGCAAGCCACTTGAAAGCGAAATTGAATTGTAGCTCTTTACAATAGGCGAACAAACAACATAATCCGACATCAAATATTAAAAAAAACCAAGTTATCTTTATTACATCTAAATATTCTGATAGTAATAACTGCTTGCCTCCGTAAGGTCTCTTACATATACACACAGTTCTACATAGCGATTTATCATGGCACAGTTGTTGTGCTTAGAAGCACAGATCACGGTTGTACAATAAACTGACGTAGTTGTACAAGACTCCATGGAACATACATTAATCTTTACGTTAAGTAGGATACAGCAATGAGACCAGACAAAATGACGCTCGTTTTTCAATGCACAGAACATTATTAGTGTTTTTTGTTTGTGTTCATTTCATATATTTATATATATATATCTTTTTTTCTCTTTTACACAGCTATTATTTCATTATTAGACCTCTCAGCCAATACGTAATTTAGTTACACCTTTTCATTTGGCTCGAAAACCGAGATGACTATAATACATGCCTTTTAAAAAAAACAAACAAACAAAAGATAAGGAAAGAAAAGCATTAAAAAATGGTTCAAGTTCTCAGTAAATCAGACCTTAAACACACTTTAACAGCAAACGCTGAAAAGTAAAAGTCTTTGGCTCGCACTCAATCCCAGGTCAAACCAATTCAAGTTAATTTAATGGACCATATAATCTGTCATTCACACGCGCACACACTCTCCCACACACACATTAATGAATGTCGCTGCACCGTCTTATGCGCGCGCACACACACTCATAACACTAATTAAATTTGTTGAATGAAAATGAACCAGTCACTTCAAATGCAACAGCTCTTGGAATCCACTGATCCAGATATGTCTAACGGAGAAACTCCTCCTTGTAATATTCTATCTATGGCTACACGTCACATGAACAAATACACACGTGTACATGCCTACACCCATGAGTCGGGCGAGGCGGGGTAGGGCTGAGTCCTGTATGAAGGCCTGCGTGTGGTGGAGTAGAAGTCCACGTAGTTGGTGTTGGGTTTGAGCACCTGCCGTTCGCTCACCACAGGATATCGGACCGGCTCGTCCAGGTAAGCGTCCTCGTAGCCTAATGGAGACGACAGGTACATCCCGAAAGTGTCGTAGGTGCCTTGATTGACCTCCTCTGGGTAGTAAAGCCGGCCGTGCTGGGGGGACACAAACAAAATAAGCTGAATGGGTGCCTTTTTTTGTGCAGTTTCACAAGGAAAAAAAAGTGTATGGCTGGGATGATAAATCGAGGTATTGTGATTCATGGATCGATTACTTTTAGAATGATTCGCAATTCTCACTGAAATCATTTTTTATATACACAGTGCTGTGCAAAAGTCCTAAGCACCAGCTTGTTTGGCCCAAGACCATTGCATAATGTAGAATCAATCAGTCTCTTTATAAAAAAAAAACAGGAAGTATGTACAAAAAAACAACAGCAGCACAACATTTCTTCTTCAAACAAAAGTTTGATGTGGCTTTCCTTGGCAACTGTTTGTTCTAATTGTCCTGACATTTTTTTAAATAATGCGCCGTGTGATATCAGGCTTTTTTTAGCACTTTCCACAGTTCTTTTTTAGGTTTACAGTGTCAAATCTTTCTTTTTCTGTCCAGGTGATCTCATGTAGCCTCTATAATGTTCAGGTCTGGACTCTTTGGAGGCCATTTAATCATTAGCCCCTTTCACAAAGTGATATCGGTAAATATCCTGAAAATTTCCGTAACGACTTTAGCGGTGAATTCAAGAAAGTGCTGTTCACCCAGACAAGGACATTACAGACTTTTTTTCCGGAAAAGACCGTTCACACATCCATTCCAAAATACGATTAAATTCTGACATTATTACGCAGAAATGAGCTCTTAACGGATGCACTTGTATTTGTAACATTTGACTACATTACAAACTCTGTGGATGGCGAAGTATTGTGAACAACTTCGATAAAAACATATAGAGGAACACTTTCGCATGTCAATAATATGTGTGTGTGC